TCTATTTTTGTTATCAAACACTGTGCTCCCTACTCCCTCCTTGGTCCATGCTGGAATGAATTGAAAAGTTAAGAGTGCTGGTCTGAACTGTTGAAAAGAAAATTTATTCATTGAAATCATAGCAGAAAAAAATTTTCAAATCTAGGGAAAGAATTCAATATTCAAGTATGAGAGGCATGTAGAACCCCAAATAGCCATGACCAGAAAAGAACCTCTCCATGACACATCATAAGCAAATTTCTAGAAATCCAGTAAAAGGAGAGAATACTACAAGACATTAGAGAAAAACAGCAAGTAAGCTATAGAGGCAAGCCTACCAGAACAACTGCAGATTTTTCAGCACAAACTTTAAAGACCAAGAGCACTTGAAGCAAAGTTTTTGAAGCCCTAAAAGAAAAAAATTGTCAACCCAGACTTTTACATTCTGCAAAATCAGCCTTCAAAACTGACAGAGAAGTAAGGATTTTCCGTGACAAAGAAATACATGATATTTAAACCAGCACTGCAGAAAATACTTAATGGAATCCTACACAGAGACAGGGAACCCATGAGCTCCAAAGAGTCCAAAGGAAATTATACATCTTACTGGGAGTGTAGTTAAACAAAAGGAAAAAATTTTAAAAAACAAAAAGATAAATACAAAAAATGGAAAAAATAAATCAGCTCCAGAAAAATGATGCAATAGCAGAATTCAATAGACAGCGTACAGTAATAACTCTCAAGGTCAATGGTCTCAACACCCCATCAAAGACACAGACTGGTAGATTGGATCAAAACACAAAAATTCAGGTCCAGAGATTTAGCACTGTGGCACTGTGTCTGCTTGGCAAGTGCAAAGTCCTAAGTTTGATTTCTGATACCGGAAAAAAAAAATGCAACCACAATACCTACAGGAAATACACCTCACTCAAAAGGCAGTAACAGGCTGAAAGTGAAAGCATGGAAAATGATGTACCATTCAACTGGAGGTATATATAGCATGAATAGCTATCCTATTTTTAGACACAGCAGACTTGAAGCCAAAACTAATCAAAGAGACAAAGAGGACGACTACCTACTGGTAAATGGAATAATTCCACAGGAAAAGATAACAATTGTAAATATTTATGCACCAAATATCAGTGCACCCAATTTCATAAAACAGAAACTACTGGATAGGACAGACACACCATACAATCACAGTGGAGGCCCTCGTACCCTCCAACTTTCACAGTTAGACAGATCAACTAGACAAAAAAACAACAACAAAGAAATATCAGACTTAAACCAGATCATTCACTGAACAAATGGACTTTATAGATATCTATAGAGTGTTTCACCCAACAACAGAATACATTTTTCACAACAACACATGAAACTTTTTCCAAAATAGACCATATCTTAGGCCATAAAGCATGCTTAAATAAATAAAAAATAATTGAAATAATTCAATGCATACTATTGGATCATAGTGGAATTAAGCTAAAAATTAACAGCAATAGAAACCACAAAACTACACAAACACATGCAGTAAATAACACATTATTGAATAATCAATGGATCACAGGAGAAATCAGGGAAGAAATTTTAAAAGTTCCTAGAATCAACAATGGAAACATAAGATACCAAAACCTATGGGACATCATGAGAGCAGTTCTAAGAGGGAAATTTATAGCTGTAAATGCACACATAAAAAGAATAGAGCAGAGGCCGGGGATTTAGCTCAGTGGTGCTGCCACCTGCCTGGCAAGTGCAAGGTCCCGAGTTAAATCCCCAGTACCAAAAGAAAAAAAAGAATAGAGCAATCCCAAATAAATAACCTAATGATGCATCTCACAGAACTAGAAAGACAAGAGGAATCCAAATTTGAAACTAATAGAAGGAAAGAATTTATAAAGATGAGAGCAGAAATTAATGAAATCGAGACTAAAAAAACAATACAGACCAGGGATTTAGCTCAGTGGCACCCGCGCCTGCCTCAAAAGCACAAGATCCTGAGTTCAATCCCTGGTACCAAAAAAACCCCACAAAAAACCCAATACAAAACATCAATGAGTCAGAGTTGGTTCTTTGAAAGGATGAGAATGGAATCTGCGGAAGAGGAAGACTGGAGGGAGGGGAGGGGAAGACAAAGTAAAAAGGATCAATATATGATATGCATGGGTACAAAGTTCTCCACAATAAATGTGTTTCACAATAACATACTAATAAAAAAATTGAAGCAAGTTATACGAAAGCCCTCACGACAGTGTTTTATTGTTAGTTTTAAATTACTCTAATACTATACACTTGAATAATTAATTTCAGGGCTGAGGACTGAATGCATAGCCTAGTGAGTGCTAACCACATACTCTACCACTGAGTTATACCCCAGCCCAAAGTATATTGATACATTAGAAAGAGTCAGGAGAGAAATTCAAAAAAATGTGTATAGTGACTGAAAAGTTATAAATTATTTTCATTTTCTCCAAGTGCTATTACTTTCTCCTTTGGTTCTTTTCAAAATTTCTATAATGAACATTTTTATCGTTATAATTAAGAAAAGATAAAACATGCATGAGGCATGGGTTCAATCTCCAGCACCACCAAAAAAAAAAGGAAAAGAAAAAAATATACAACACATTTTTGAAGCAAGAAATGAAGAAATAAAAAAAGAGCATGCTTAATAATGGTAGGGTGATGAAAAAGCTATTAGCTTTTTGGTTCATGTAAGAAAATAAAGCCTGACTTGGTGGTTCATACTATAATCCCCAGCTACCAGTGAGTTTGAGGCCAGCCAGGGCAACAGAGACTCAGCTAAAAATAAATAAATATATAAATAAAATTATAAAAAGAAAAGTAATTTAAATGTAAGTGGGGAGGCACTGGAAAGATGACAAAAAATTTAAATTTCTCTAGATAATGCAAAACTGCATTAGAGTAGAAAGGAAAAAAGAAGTAATTGATGTTAATACTGTTACACCGATGTAACAGCCAAATCTGATAGCATAAGGGATTCAGGAAAGTAAGAATAATGAGGTATAAAATAACATTCTACTTATGTATGGCATGGAGACAAAGCAGTTCAAGCTGGGCATGATGGCACACATCTGTAATCTCAGCACTTGGGAGGCTGAGGAAGGAGGGTCACCGCAAGCTAGAGGCCAGCCTGGACTACATTATCTCGACCCTATCTCAAAAAAACAAAACAAGCCAGGCATGCCTGTAAGGGAGGCTGAGGGAGGAGGATCTCTGTGAGTTTGAGGCCTGCCTAGTCTACATAGTGAGTTCAAGGCCAGTCTGAACTACATAGCAAGACCCTGTCTCAAAAAGAAAACAAAACAAATCCACAGAGAAGGCTGGATAAGGTAGCAAGGAGTGCTGCATCAGCTACTACAGCCATAAAACAAAGTTGGTATCTCTTTAGACTTTAAAATTGTTCCTATGCAGGTTATTTTATTTTTATTTAGTCAAATAAACAAGAGGGTTTTCCCAAGGTAGGAGGAGAAAAATAAACTGGAACACAAACAAAGCACCTGCAGGGCCCACGAGGCCCAGGACAGGGACAAAAGGAGTAAAGCAAATTTAGGAAAGAGGAAGAGTCAACAGCATTCAGCAGATAATTGAATTTGCAGGAAAACAGCGGTGCACGTGACTCCAAGGTTTGCAGCTGGGAGAGCATAAGGACACTGACGTCATTAACAGCACAGCACACGGGAGGAAAAGTGGATTTGCATAGAATGAGAAATTTCTGTTTGGTTTTGAGTACAACGGTCTCCAAGATCCTTGTCCTGAATTATTTTTTCCAGTATTAAGGACTGAACCCAGGGCATTTGCACTGAATTATATCACCAACACCATCCTGGTATTTTGTTTTGTTTTGTTTGAGAAACGGTCTCACTAAATTGCCCAGGCTGGGCTTGAATTTTTTTTATCTTTCTGTCTCAGCCTCCCAAACTACTGAGGTGACAGGCATGCACCAACACGCCTAGCTCCTTGTCCTGAATTCTTGATGCCTAGAAAGTGCCAGATAAATAAATGCTTATTCTTTAAACCACTAAAATTGGAGTGAGATGTCACACAATAGATTATTAACAGATATTACTTGGAGATATCTAGCTGGCAGATGAAATGCACAATGAAGGACTTGGAGGATATCAGGGCAGGAGAGAGAATTTGAAGAGTGATCAGCTTGTGATAAACACTGAAGACAGGTAGTTGCCAAGTGACTATGCAGAAAGAGAAATTCACCAAAGGGCAAATGGCAGGTGGCTGGGGAGGAGGAGACAGGCCTGAGGAAGCAATCAACTAATCAATTGCTCATGAGGTTTAATTTAAGTTTGGGTATTTTTTTAGGTTTTTTCCTCAATTTTTCATATTATGGTAAAGCTGAGCATGGTGACATACACCTGTAAGCCCAGCAACTCTAGAGGTTGAGGCAGGAGGATCACTGCAAGTTTGATGCCAACCTGGGCTATAAAGTGAGCTCGAGGCCAGCCTGAACTACATAGTGAGACCCTGTCTCAAAAAAACAAAACAAACAAAAACCAAAAGAAGACAGAAAGAAAATAAGCCAGGTTGGTGTGATGTGATAAGGTGTGACTGAGGATATTTGTGAAAGGGGAACTTTTAGAGTGTTCTTTTAGAGTGAGGGCTGAGGAAGTCAGTCAGGCATGGGGGAGGGTGGCATCTCATAGGGCCTGGCAGGCCACACACCCAAGTGCCATAGGAGCCATGGAGCTGTGATTTTTTTTCTTCCTTTCTTCCCTCTCTCCTCCCTCCCTTCCTTCTTTTTCTTTGTAAAAGTAAGATCACTGGTTGAACCAAAGACAAATATGAACCCTAAAATTCGTAATTGTTAAAAGTGTTTTCTTTCCATACTAGATTAAAAGTCAGCTAGGGCCAGGGATTTAGCTCAGTGGTTTCGCTGCCTGCTGTGCAAGTGCAAGGACCAGAGTTCGATCCCCCATACCAAAAAAAAAAAAAAAGTCAGCTAAATATACCACTGATAATTAACAGGAATATGAACTTCTAAACTTTACCTTGGCAAAACTAATCTCTTTTATGACACAGTGCTTGCTGTCTGATTTCCCTTTAGCCAAGTAGGCTTTTCCAAAGGCACCTTCCCCAATGACCTCAATCACATCAAATTTATCCATGGTCTCCAGCGCTGAGGTTCCTAGAATTGGAGGATGCAGATTACCGAATGCTTCTCATGACAAATAACAGCCAGAAAACTCATGACTGAAAAGTAAAGGAACTCACTCTGCTAAAATTTCTCTTCCGGCTTGGCCAAGGCAGGGTCAAATAACAGATTCAGCCTGGCGGACTCCAAGGTCAGACTTTAGTTGTACCTCAGTTTGACTCACTTTAGCAGGTGACCCTGCACACAAACCTCAAAAAAACCTCAGCATCCTAAAATAGAAATACCAACACCGCGTTACAAGTTTGTTCCAAGAAGACAATGTATTACAGCCACGTTGCCTGCACCTGAAGTCCAGCCCCCCTCAGTAGGGAAGAAACTCCCCTCTAACCTGCAGTCTGGAAATTCACGCAGTTTTCAGTTCTCCCTATAAATTCAGAGTCATAGCATTTAGAGACGGTTAGAGCCTGGGACACCACTTCTTCCACGCAGAGGCCCGTCCCACAAAATAAAGGATTGTTCTGTGGCCCCCCACAACCTAGGAAAGTCATTTCGTGCGTTTTCATGTGTGCAAGAATCCATTCATAATTATCTGTGACTGTGACCAAACTCTATTTTACACCTAGCTACAAAGCCCCCCCCCCCCCATTTTCCTAGGAATTAAAGCTCAGTTGCACTTTAGAACTCTACCATTTTGAAGAACCTGTTCACCATTTTGGGAAATCACACCCTCGGTGTCAGACTGCATTGCGGGTCACCACTTTCAGGTGCCCAAGTAAGGGCATCTGGATACATCAGGACTTTCTCAAAGGCAGTAGTGCCAAATATTTATGAACAGAAATACATACTTTATTGCAAATTGCCTTTATTTTACTTCCCCTGTATTCTACCTTTAGGACATAAGGCAGGTTTTTAAAACTTGGGTAGGCAGGCAAGTTGTTTTTGAATCATTTCACGTCAGGGTAGGAAGTGGGTACAACTGCGTTGCCAGGAGAGGCTGCGGGCACCCGAAGACCCAGTTGTGAGCGAGCCGAGTGGGAACCCTCCGTCCCAGAACTGAGGGCACACCACCCTACCGCCAGGTGGCATCAGGCTGCGAAAGCCTCGGGACTTGAGATCGCACCTTGGAGCCGGCGTTTCTTCTGCGTTGCCGGCGTCTCGAGCGTTGCCATGGAGATCGAAGTGGCCCGGGACGCAAGGCTGTTCCCCGCCACCCTGGCTCCCTCCGCCCAAAATGCCCCCCTTTGCCCCGCGGCTCCTGGAGCCCTGGGGCAGTTTCAAGTGAGGACAAAGCGCAGCCTGCAAGCACCATACCTGTCCCTTGGACCAGAGGAGCGTCACGGCCGAGTCCGGTTTCCCTGGGCAACTGAGCTTCGGCGCAGCCAGGGCGGAGCCGCGCGAAGGAACGCGGGCGGGGCGCCCGGCGGGAGCGGGCAGGAGACGAGTCCACGCTGTCCCTCCCGGAGAGGTCAGCGAGCAGCGAGTGCTTGTCTCCCGTGACCCCTTTGCATAACACGCAGCCAGCACTCGGCTCCTGCCGTTTACGTGACCTCAAGTACCCTTTTCTCCAGTCTTTTCTTTTTTTTTTTTTTCCTCTCCAGTCTTTTCAACTGTACAAGGAGTTAAGACTTTAAGTGTTACACGTGAGCTAAGCATAGACTGGACGCGTTTGTTGTGGTGGTGATGCTGAGGATCAAACCCAGGACCTTCGTTTAAGCCAAGCTCGTGTTTTACCGGCGATCTACAACCCCAGGCGGAGGCGTGCTTCTTGTTCAAGGTCTCACTGCTGCCAAGCCCAGAGACTGAACCTGGGGCTGCTCTTTGGGCGGCGACACCCCAGGCTTTCCCGAGGCCGCTTACAAAACCGGCTACTGCCAGGGATTTAGCTCAGTGGTTTTAACGCCTGCTACGCAAGCGCAAGGACCCAAATTCGATCCCCGGTACCAAAAAAAACCCAAAAAAAACGGCTGCTGCTCAGTGGTCTGCAAACCCCCACCTCACTCCATTCTGCACAGGCTCATCGATCCGCGGTCTCTAATGTTTCCTTATGTGTGTAGGCAGCTAAAAAGTGACTTTCCTCAGTGGTAAACACAGACATAAAAAGTAAAAGATATCCACACTCAATGCAATCTAAATACTTCGCCATTGGATACCCATCATAGTCGACCGTACCCCCTAAAAAACGCCCTTCTCTAAGCATCAGAAAGTGTGTATTAATACTTTTTCTCCTTGAAATCAAACCTCTATTCCACTTTCCTGAGTTTTATCCCATTTAATCTTTTTCATGCCTGAAAGTCATTGATGACCCTATCATATTGCTCTGGAAACAGTATATAAATGGAAATGAGACTCTATTTTCTTG